TGGTTCGGGCCCTGTGACAAACTGCACAGGGCCTTAGGCTAAATGGCCAGTAGGGCGTTGTCTTAACTATCTCAGGAATCTGGGTGTAACAGAGGAATTTAATAATACCTAATCTTTTACATTTTAATTCAAGCTTTCCAGCTTAGAAACTTTACCCTTTCAAAGGGAGTCCTAGCTGTCCAAGAGGATGTCAGATAGAGTGCAGCAGGGCAAGTCCTGAATATCTTCTACAGGGGACCACAGGCACCTTTGTGACTGCACAGAAGAGACCCACAGAAGACACCTGAACTGGATCCAGCCTGGCCAAACCCAGCCAAGATCAGCCAAATCACGGCCTCCTGCAGTGGCAACCTGAGTAGGATGCTGGGTTAGGCCTGGGGTGGCGGGTTATGTGGAGTTATTCTGGGAATAGCCAACTGATTCAGGATCACTTTGCCCCTACATAGCTCTCTGGGGCAATATCCAAGATGACCCAAGGCCAGCTCCCTCCAGGGATCCCCACCTAAGCCCAGGCAAATGAGTATCTTCCTGCCACAGAGCTCCTCCACATCCTCTGGTCTTAATATTTTACAAAATTTCTTTTGATGTACTAGGGATGGGTTTTATAGTTGTAAATTATACCTCAATACAGATGTAAAGATGGCCAATAGGAGGGAGAGAAGACTTGGCACAACCACTGTGAGATTCGGTGCAGCGATTCTGAGCACACTGGTTGAGTGCTGCCAGCCGGAATCCATCCCCCTTCCTGCTTCCGGATGGGGGGGGTCTGCTGTCTCTGAAGGAAGGCTGCCCCTCCCAGAGCAGCTTGTCCTCCTCCATGCAGGCCCCTTTATGCCCTGCCATCTGATGCTCTCGTTGCCTGGAGGGAAGAGGCTGGTCTGGGTAGGTCCAGAAGTGGCACTGCTTGATGTGTCTTCTGTCCCAGTCCCAGGAAAACTGGGTGCAGAGGGAGGCTGGTTTCTTCAGAGACAAGGTGCATCTGCGGGAAGGGGCGACGTCCTTGCCTCATGGGTGTTTCCCGAGTGCCCCTATCTGAACCCCAAGGCGCTCCTCCTTGCAAGTGTTCCGTTCACAGGCAGGGATTGGTGTTCGGTGTCAACTTGTCTGGGCATTTCTTTTTTCTTTCTTAAATATTTTTTAGTTGTAGTTGGACACAATATTTTATTTATTTATTTTTTATGTGGTGCTGAGGATYGAACCCAGGGCCTTGCACGTGCTAGGTGAGTGCTCTACCGCTGAGCCACCACCCCAGGCCCTAATCTGGGTATTTCTGTGAAGGTGTTTTGTAGGTGCGAAGAACATCTCTGACCAGTCAACTTTAAGTAAAGGATGACACTTGATGATCCAGGTGGCTGTAGCCAATCAGCTGAAAGACCTGGAAGAGAGGGTTAGTAGAAATAAGGACAAGAAAGATGCTTCTGGTAGGGCAGGTGGGAATGAGGAGCCTTATTAGAAACTGGAGGAACATTCTCCCAGTAAAAGAGCAGCAGAAGACTGCACTGGATTGCACTCTTCCATCCGTGGACAGCAGAACTGAGGAACGTGGCTACGTAGATGAGGAGATTCCCAGGTAAAGAGGTGTTAAAGGTATGCGCTACTGTCCTCCTGCTGCTCATCTTACAGTGTGAGAGGAAAGAGGTAAGGTAAAGAAGATCTGCTAAGCAAACATAAGCTAGCACTTAAATGATCCCGGAGGCTCTTTGMCTTGCAAAGGATGCTGACACCAGGAAGCTCACTGTGGGGAAGGCACATCCCGCTGTCCGGCGTGAGGCTGAGGGTGTACCAGTGCACGTTTTGCTGAAGGGACTGGGCTGGAGACCCGACTCCACTGGGCTCCCTCAGCAGAAGCTTTGGAGACGGGCATCCAGGAAGATTTGTGGAGCACTCTCCTAGTTACCGGGAGGAGACTCACAGGCTTTGGGGAATGCTCAATCAGCAGAAAGGTGGCCATCTTGGACCTAAAGGGAGACTCAGGGCAAAGCGAGGGAGTGCCAACAGACTGCTAGTGGGCAATGGACGCACCTGTGTGCTGCCCTTCACGAGAAGGGGAGAACCTCGGTGAGGAAGACCCAGAGACTGCTGGGGCTCCTTTGCTGAGAGTGGAGTGCTGAGCTGCAGGGCTCTCTTCAGGCCTGGAACTCAGCGGAACCTCCCCTGCCGGGTTCAAACTTGCCTGGGGGTAGGGGAGGACAGCAGCTCTTGGATTCCTCCCTGTCTTCCTTTGGAATGGAAAGGTGTCTCATTCCTGTCCCCTTTCAGCTTGGAAGGAGATAACTTGTTTTCTAAGGTTCCAGGTCCACAGATGGAGTGGTGTCTTACCTCAGGATGGATCACAGCCATAGTCTCCCCCATACAGTTGTCCCTCCTTTTTCAGAGGACGAACATCTGAAGAACCCCAGTGGATGCCTGAATCCGAGGATGTGTGTGCCCTGTATCTGCTGATATTTTCTACACATACACATGCCTTCATTCTCAACTAAGTAAGAACTCTCACACTGGTGGTAATGTTGCAAACCGAGGTGTGACAGCAAAACCAGCAGAACTTTCCTTTCCTCCTTCACAATTTCATGGTTAGAAGATTCACTTTTACCATAGATCTTAGCACCTCAGCATACATTTTTTTTTACTTAACTTTATCGAGAACTTTCAGTTTTAACTTAAAGGAAGCACTTTATAGCTTCTTTTTAACATATCCAAATTGCAAGCATCACTACTCTTGTACATTATGGTCATTATTAAGATAAAAAAAGGTCACTGAGCACAAGCAATACCAGGACAATCTACCTGCTAGCTGAAACAGCTGCTAAGTGAGTCAAGGGTGGATAGCATATACAGCATGGATACACTAGCAGGGGTGGCTCAAGTCCTGGGCAGGTAGAAGTGACATGGTAAGAGGTTTCACACTGCTCAGAATGATGCACAATTTCAAACCTAAGAACTGTTTATTCTGGAATTTCCTATTTAATAATTTCAGACAGCAAATGATTGAGGGCAACTGAAACCACAGAAAGTGTGACTCTGATGGAGTAGGGTACTACTGTACCTGACTTAGACGAGGAGCCTGGGGACTTTGTGAGCTGGAAACATTCAGATGAAATTTTGGACTTAGAGCATGCTGTGAAGGCTGGGACCCTGGGGGCTGTCAAGCAGCTCACAGCCCTTGTTGATTTCCCTGTCCCTTTCCATTCCTTCAGCCCTGCCCAGCCTCAGCTCCCCCAGACCCCCAGAACTTCACCTTGGAGAATGCCCCGCCCTCTTAGAAGCATTCGTGCACTGGCTCTGGCACAAGGAAGACTCACCTTCTCTGCAGGGGTGACATTGGTGCTTTCAGCATGGTGTTAGAATGGAGAGGGCTCAGCATGGAGCCACCAGGCTCTCTCCAGGGAGGCCAGAACTTGCCTCTGAGCTGGAAGTTCACTTGGGTCTGTCTGGAGCAGGCAATTGCCAGGCAGGTAAGGAGGCTGGGGGAGCCAGTCCTCAGGCTGACCTAGGCTATGCTGTAGTAAAACACCCCCAAATCTCTAGACCTCATAACTTAACAAAGCAGCAGACGTCTCCCTGTTCTTTATGCTCAAGTGGGCTGGGAGGTGGCCCATGGTTTTCTCCAAGAGATGGGAGTTTCCTCTTGGTAAGGGTSTAAGTGTGGACAGTAGGATTTAGCCCTTGAAATGTCGGGCCCAGAAAGACAGAGGTCACCTGTGCTCATATTTCTTTGGTCATGCAGGTTAGATGGCCACACTGAATTTCAAAGGTGTAGGGAGGACAGAGCCCTGCTCTGAGCTGTGTGAAGAAAGGGGACCTGGGCRCAGGGGCGGGCAACAGCTCTTCCAGGAGTGACCCTACTAGGGCTCCACGTAAGTTGCACAGAACAGCCGGCTTTGTGGCCTGGCTGCAAGGCAGAACCTCAGGAGGCAGAGCCTTCCAAAAGCCAGACGACTGACTGCGCAGTGACAAGGCAGCAGACACAGGAAGCTAAGCGCTACGGAGAGAGCCGCCTCTTMATTGCTGAGCGCGTTTTTCCCACGGTCTCATCCTGACTTTGCAAAGGGACCGAGATGCACCGAGGCCAAACCACGCCCCAAGACTCTCAGATAACTGCAAAGGCCGTGCAGAGCCCAGCTGTTGGTATGAGATTTCCGGAAGGCCATGGGACCCTGGACGACCTGAACGATTCCACTGGGTGCAGACCGGGGCAGGGAGAACGGTACCAGTACCTAGGCTGGGAGAGGATCCAGCACAGGGAACCCGCCAGCGCGGACGCACGTGCTCAGCGGAGCCTGGACGCTGGGCGCGCGCGCGAGCGCGCCTCCGAACCGGGTCCGGGCCGCCCTCGTGGGGCGGGGCTGAGGGGTCAGTCCCCGCCCCTCATCTCCATCCTCTGGGGGCGCCGCGCTCGCGCGCCACCTGCAGCAGCAGAGCGGGATCGCGCCTGGCCCACGCCGCAGTGCTGCACGACCTGACCGCACCCGGGTCCGGCCCCGCGCGGCCGCTTCCCGCGTCCCAGAGCTCGGCCTCGCAAAGCCCAAGGTCTCAGGCTGAAGTTCGAGGTTCCCTCGATCGGCTGGCAAAAGTCCCCGGGCGGCATCTTTTCACGAAGGCAGTGGGAGTGGAAGGCCAAGGGAACCCCGAGCCCCCACGGTCGCCACACATCGGAGGAGGCTCCCCGCTGCCTTTACTGGCGGAGCCAGCACTGTTCTCGAGATCCCGGCCTTCCTGGGCCTCCGAGGCAGCCCGGCTGGGGCATCCTCGCTCGCCCTCCCGGGCTCTTGTCTCCGCCTCCTCGGCCGTGCCGCGGACCCGCGCGGACCGGACACGCTTGCTCGGTTCCAGACCCCGCGTGCGCCCAGCTCCGCGCACCGCTCCCAGCGCCGGCCCCGCCCGGCCCCTCCCGTCTCCGCCCCGGCGCTGGGCTCCACCCCGCTCCCGCCTCGACCCCTCCCGCCCCGGCCCGCCCGGGCGCTCGCAGTCCTCGGGGCCGAGAGCTGCCCAGGCGAGTGGGAGCCCGAGGCTGGGCGCAAGGCGGGCGCCGCCGGCCCCTCGAGTCCGCTCCGCTCCCGCCTGGCCCGGCGGGAGGGCCATGCTCCGGGTTCTGGCAGAGGCGCGCACCCAGGCCCCGCGATGAGGAGCGGCGCGGAGCGCAGGGGCAGCAGTGCCACTGCGCCCCCAGGGTCACCGCCCCCCGGCCGAGGGCGCCCCGCTGGACCAGACGCGCCCCCGGCCCTGCCACCGCCCGCCGCTGGCCAGCCCCGGGCCCGGGACGCGGGCGATGCCCGAGCGCAGCCGCGCCCCCTGTTTCCGTGGAGCAAGTGGAAGAAGAGGATGTCCATGTCGTCCATATCGGCGGCCACCGCGCGGAGGCCGGTGTTTGACGACAAGGAGGACGGTGAGTGTGGCCAGGGACAGCTTGGAGACCTAGCGCCCTCTCGCAAGGGGGATGTGGGGGTGACATTCTTTGCGTCTCGACACAGTAGGACTGTCTGGGTTACTGAGGAAACTCGGGGACCACTGCTGAGGTCCTCTCTCTGGTCCTGAGTACCCAGTGGCTGTGCCGTGGGAGTAGCCGTGTTGGGCGGGTCCTGCTAGATGAGGGTCCATGGGCGCTGGGGGCGGCTCTCAGCTTAGGCGCCCAGCAGCTAACTGTGGAGAGCACCTAAGGTTTCATTTTCCTTGGGGCAGTGTTTCAGGCGTGGTTGGTTCCTTGCCTTTCCAGGAGGCGCTCACCTGTAGTGTGCCGAGTTCTCAGAAGTGAAATGCCTGTCCACAGGTGGCACGAGGTGTGTGTCGGGGGAGCTGGCCCCTCTCAGTCTCCAGGGTGACCSTACAGTGCCAGTGGCATGCCGGGCCTCTGCTTTGGGCTGTGCTGTGGAGCCAGGGCCTCGCCTTTGTGCAAAGACCTGCCCTCTGGGGAGCCAGTGTTCTGTAAAGTCCTTCTGTAGGGAATGTGGCCTGACTGAGGTGGGCTCTGAAGGTGACAGGCATCAGGCAGCTGGTTGTGCACTGCACACCTCCTGGGGCTCTGCCGGGTGACCTTTGACAGCACCCATGGGAAGGTGATGTGCAGGGGCGCCTTGGGGCCACTGTGCTTAATTCACACGCAAACATATAGCTTTTTTTCCTACAGATGTCATGCAGATAATTTTAAATGGTACAATGATGACACATTTGATGTTTTTTTTGACATTTTCTTAAAATAGTTGAAGACTGCATTTTCATTTGTAGGCAGCCTGCAGAGATATGATGGATTTTTTTTTTTTTTATAATTTAAGAGCACAGCTCAGTTCAAGAGCCCAGACTATTTATTTCTAATAAATAATTTAAGCACTATGGGAAATTACAGCAGGACCTCAGGCCAGTGTGAATGCACGTGCCCTCATTTCTCACAGAGACAGTGTGGGGTGGCTGGCCAGGGCTCACCAGGCCTCSGGGGAAGAGGTCGGCAGGGGAGCGGGGTTCTGCAAAGCAGTGTCAGACGCAGTGTGTTCTGGGGTGGTCTGTCATTGTGTTCTGAGCTCTGGGACAGCAGAGCTCACTGTGATGACTGGTTCCTGGGTTGTGCTTTTGTTTTCAACATTAATATTCAAAGTGTAAAAAGCCCAGAGTGAAGCAGGAGCTAATTAGAAAGGAGATCTACATCTAGTTTCTGGCTGAGGATGACAGAGGTCTGAGAAACAAACACTCAGTGCTTGCTGCTGCTGGCCGAGAGAGACCTGCCCCCCTGAGTCTTAGTGTCACCTCTCCAAGGCAGCAGATGTGGAGATGTGGTGCAGCACTGCCCTCAGACTTTGGGGGTWGACTTTCCCTGCTTGTTCAGTGTGTTGTATCTCAGAATCCCAGGATCATTCAGAAGGCAAAGAGAGCAAAGGATCTGTTTATGGTACTCGCTGTCTGATTTGAGAATTATTTTACTCATTCCCACCTCCTTATTTGCTTGTAGTAGGATGGCAGAGGTACGGAGTGTTCTGGGCTTTGTGTGGGGTGGTTAATTGGTGCTGGCTCACAGAGCTTGCTCTCTGTGTATGTAACTGTCACCAGCTTATCACTGGGCACCAGGGACACATCCCCACACCGAACACACCGCTGGTGTTTAACTGGGCTTTGGTGAGATGAGGAGGTCAAGCCTGGCCCTGGTGGCAGCTGAGCACATTCTCCGGGTGGGCGACACTCAGTGTCACTTTTCTATGCTGTTGGTAGGGCACAAACAGCTTGAGAGATAACCTGGTACTTATCAAAGAGGGCTGTGTGCCCTGAATGTGAAGGCCATGGATTCACGATACAGTCTGGACAGGCGAGGACGCCTGGTTCAGGAAGAGGCTGTGGCCCGGTCCCTCTGTTTTTGGGAGATGCAGTCACTCCCCTAGTCTTGGCCCCACTCTAGCCGGGCCTTCAAGCTGTGGCTGTGCGGTGCTGGTGGCTTGCCTGTACAGGAACTGCACAGTTGCCATGGTAATGCAAGGCCTTCTGATGAATTTTTTTTATATTAAAACACCTAATTAATATATCAAATTGGTATGAAGAGAAAAAATTTAAAAACAGTAAAAAAGAAAATAGGAGGGCAATTTAAGTGCCAGGTAAATTTCAACTAAAAAGTATAGTTACGACATGTAAGAGCTTAAATGTCCTCTGTTCTTGCTTCTCCCTGGGGAATCCAGAGCCTCATTCCTTCTTCGGCAGGTGTTTGGTGCACTGTGGAATTTTTTGCTTCTCTTCCTCACTCTAGGGCTCCTTTTTCCTTCCCGTGGGCCCCATGTCCCTCTGTGTGCCATTTCTTCTGGGCTTGAACCTGCTACCAACCTCATTTCCTCTGTGCTCTGCCACAGAGCTGCAGGGAGCTGGGCAAGCCCCTCACTCCTCTGCTTCTGTGTCCCTGTGCTGCAGAGGGCCTCCGGGCGAGTAGCCTGGGGAGGGGCGTGGCTGCTTGCCTCAGACCCACCGTGGCCTTAGTTTACAGTTCGGAGTGGTTACACACGGAGGGGCCTTGACTGGGCCCAGAACACTGGGAGGAAGCGAGGCCCTTGTAGGCAGCGATGCCTGGCACCCTTGGTTGGGAGAGTGGAGTTGGGACAGGGGCTTCCCAGTTCTCCAGTCACTGCTTTTATAATTAAAACACTAAAGAGAAAGGAATTTTGTTTTTCTCATTTCCGTGCATTTTGCCAGGCTCTGTGGAACCTGAGCTGTGGTGCACGTCCCAGCCTCCTGGGAATCTGGATGCAGTCCTGCTGCCATGTAGAAACACACCTTTGCTGCATWTTTTTTTTTTTTTTAACAGAAGCAGGGCTGTGCACCATGTACTGCTGTGTTGAAACCTAGTTTTTTATGTAGTGAGATGCTGTCGATGTCTTGCAGTCTGAAGCATTGATGGCTAAGTTCACAGGAGCCGTTTTTCACCCTGAGCAGGGTAACAGATTTTGTGGGTGTTCTAAAAAGGCTCCACTTCTCTCTCAAGACCCTGTGGTTGAATTGCTGGGTGTGGGCATGCTGTGGGTGGTCTTAGGTCTCAGGGCATGGTGTGGGTACTCTCCTCCCTGAGCCTCCTTGTGATTTTGAGGCACAAGGGSCAGATCACTGCTTTGCTATCTTCCTGTGTGGACTGATTTTCCCTGTTGACTTAATTTCCTGCTTGATGTCTCTGTGTTTAGAGTAGCATCAACTCTGTGGACAGGAGTACCTCTGCACAGCCAGCTCAGGGCAAGTGTCTCTTACCTTAGGACACATTTCCAGGAATGCCAGAGCTAAGGCAGAGGTCCAAGCAGAGGGTCGGGATGCGTGTGGCTGGCCCCCGGGTGGGAGTGGAGCTCTGTGACCAGCCATGCTGGGCACGGCTGCACAGTGAGGACTTCTTGGTCTGGCCCTGCTGTTGTGGGGTGACTAGACCAGAGGGGAGTGGGGAGCCTGACAGTACGCAAGGGGACATAAATAAGGTCGCCTGAGTGGAAACGGGGTCCTGGAAGAGCGGGCAGCAGGGGGGACCTGCTTAGGAGCTGGCCAGGGAAGGGGAGGTCAGTTTCACTTGCTCCAAGGGTCCTCTCCGAATCCTCCTTACATGGTTAGCAGTGTTTTTCTTYCCTTTAATCTAAGAGATAAACAAGATGGCATTCATATTTTGCAGTGTCTTTGATCACCAGTGAGATTGCTAACCTGCTTTTCATGTTCAAGGTATTTTAATATTTTTCTTTGTTTGGTTATTTTTTGCAATTTACTAGTGAGTGCTCTTGGCTGGGGTTTTGTGTTGGACAATTGCTGTCCTGTTCTTTTTCTTTCTTCTTTGACTAATGACATCAATTGTACAGACTGATGGGTTTCATGGCAGCACACTGGTGCGTCTGTATGACGTGTTTTGATCTCGTCTCCCCTGCTGTCCTGCCTCCCTTCCCGATCCCCTCTCCTCCTGGTGGTCTCTCTTCTGCTTTCACGTGGTCTTTCCCTCTAGAGTTCACACATGAGTGCTCCTTGTCTTTGAATCTTTCATCCACCAAAGTGACCTCTGGGTGGCCGGGCTGGGGCTCAGTGGTAGAGCACTTGCCTAGCATGGGTGAGGCCCTGGGTTCGATCCTCAGCACCACATAAAGGTAAATAAATAAAGGAATTKTGTTCATCTACAACTAAAAAACATTTTWAAAAAATTATCTCTGTGTCTGGTACCTTTGGACCCTTCCTTATGTAGAAAACTTGGCCRTGAACAACCGTCTGCTGTTTGCCGTTTACCTTTTAATGCGGCTGGGTTTTCCTCCTCTAGGGATGTGCTCAGTCCTTGTGTGGTCAGGTTCCTCCACGTCCACTTCATGGAAGCGTCCCGCCTTGGTGTGTGTTACAAAGTCCTTTTCCAGCCACAGGTAATAATAGTTCCACTTGTAAATCTGCATTCATACTTTCTCCTACCACTTGTGTGGTTCTGCCTTCTATATTGAAAATTTCAATCCATTGGAAACCACGTTTGACATACTGTGGGAAAGAGTTCCCTCTGTGTGTTCTGTACTTGATCAAGYCGAACACACTTAGGATGCTACTGAACCCAGGGCCTTGTGCAAACGAGGCCAGCACTCCACCCAGTGAGCTATTTCCCCAGCCCTTAGGATGTTTCTGAGGTTAAAAGTCACTCTTGTTGTATGTTGGTGGCTCTTTGTTGATCTGTGAGTGGGAGCTTTCTATGCCACGCATCACTCTGGTTAGTGCTGGTATAATGGAAAACCACTTGTAAAACATTCATCTTGAATGTGGCCGCTTCGCCCTGCCATGATCAGTCCTCATGGTTTTTGGGTTACTTTCCTTCTGAGTGATCTGTCAGGTGACCTGTGACAAATGACTCAGTTTACCAAATGACATGTTTTGTCCTTTGTTTTTCTTTTTCAAAAAAAATATTTTTTAGTTATATTTGGACACAACACC